TGGGTTGGCACTGGGATGATTGTCTGGTGCTTGTCCTGCCTCCTGCCCAGCCAAATGCCATGGGCAGGGTACCTGAGGGACATCCAGGGGAGGGAAGGTGGGTATTTAGGGATACAGACGGGTGGAGAAAGCAAAGGGCTTGTGAGGCAAGGAGGTCTTTGAGAGGTGGAGGGGATCCTGGGGTGATGCAGAGGAGGCACTATAAAAAGCAGGGATTATTGTGGCGTGGGTGGATGTGGGAATGCAGAGCCACGGAGGGGCAGGGACACAGCCTTACAGTCTCTGGCTGCCACGGCCCTGCCTTACTCCTCCTGCAGGCAGGAGGAGGTGAAGGAAACCTTCAATAGGCATCCATCTTTCCCTTCCTTCCTGCTGCAGCCACAGAGACACGAAGTAATTTGTTTCTGGAGAAGTTTATCTTCTACTTCCCCAATAGCTTTAAGAGTTCCTTGAAATTAATCTATGTGATGGGTATCTGTATATGGCTGTAAGTGTTGAGCCCTGGCTACCTGTACAGAAATATTTTTGTGTTCTGGTCATATTTTTGCCCTGAGGTCTGTAAATTGTGATACCAGGTAGTAGAAAAGCTAACAAAAAGGAAGGTTGTTAAATCTCTAAATAAACTTTCTTTTTTCCCTGCCATTTGTGAGTGACACTAAATAATTTGTAGGCAGAAGGTTCTTTTTCACTGTTACTGTCCAATTATAAATTCAGTCTGAGATGGGATTAGCCAGGTATTTGGAGATGTGGACAATATACTGCTCAACAGATCTCTCTGGATCAAAACCAGCTCTGCAGTAACATCTTATGGCTAGCCCACTGTAAATTTTCAGTATTTTAAAAATAACAAATACATCACTTTTAGATATATCAAAACATAAGAAAGGCCGAGGCTGTGATTTCCAGGGCATCCCATAGCGTGAGGAGCCAGTAGCACTAGCACGAAGAAGTCACACAGTTTGGGGAGCCAGGCCCAGCACCCACCAGAGGAGATCTGTGAAGGTTTGTGGATGCTCTGACCACATTCCCGTGTGCCTGGGAGTCCCCTCCTGTGCTGGGGAAGTTGCATCTCCTTGGTAACCTCTCCTCAAACAGCCAAAAGTGTGATGGGGACTGTAACTGTGTTCACATTATCCACCTCTGGTGGCCGGGGCATGAACTGTTCAGCGTTTATTTATTTATTTTTCAACAGAGGATGTAGGCAAAATTTTGCTGTCTGCTGCCATCTGCTGTGGGCTTAATATTTTCATAAGCATTTCAGACTTTTTTCTGATAGAGGTAATGCTGCTGAGAGTGAGGATGCCCTAAGAATAACACATGGAGTTGTATAAAATGGATCTAAAACTCCCTGACGCTTGGCCCTCTATGCAAAACGCACTTCAAAAAGTGAGAAGGAATTATGATTCCCCCACAGGAAGGAATTGTGATATACTGGTGATTTTATTTTTACGTGCAAATTATTTCCTCTAAGTGCTTCACTCTGTGGTGCTTCAAGACACTGTTGTCCTTTTCTCTTCCCTTCTCATTTTTCATCCTGTCACGGCCCTCCCTCTCTCACCTGAAAGCTTCAGGGGGACCATATTTATGGCTGGCAGCTTCAGAGCAGAGCTCTGATGTGTGTGGCTGAGGCAAGGCCATGCTCCTTTTTCAGTTGCCAGCCCTGTGCCTGCATTTGCCTTGAGTAAATACACTCCAGCATTAAAAGATGGGGGAATCACTGGGGTTTTTTTCCCTCCTGCCCATAACACTTTACAATTATGTTGCTCAGATTATCAGCTACCAAAGCTCTCTTCAGGAAAATGAATTAGTGATGGAGTCAGTTTTCCTTTAATCAGGAAAAATTGGCTTGGTCGTTTTTTGACATCCCAAAATACTGCATTTTTACCTCTCCTCTGCCAAATCTCGATGCAAACTGTTCAAAAACTTACCCATTTAACCCATGTCGATGCTGGGGCCACAACCTGCTCTCCTCTACCAGGGCTGGAGCTCTGCCAGCAAGAAAACGTGTGACAAAAGCAACAAAACAAACTTGGAAGCCTCTGCTCATGAAAAATACATAAAAAGAGAGATTAAAGGCAATGATCAAGTGTGCTCTTTGGGTTCAGATAAGAAACACTTCCTTGTACCCTCCCTGAAGTCAAACAGACCAAGCAAGCTCCTTTCTCACTGTGCTTTATGCAATCTCGGGCTCTTGCTGCCCACAAGTGTGATACTGGGCTATTTGTTGAGGTGAACAGATTTGATCTGCAGATCTTAAAACAGTGCTACACTCACAGAGATTTCTGGAGAGCGTGTACCTTTCAGGGATCAAACTAGTTTTGTCAGCAAAACCAGCAGGATGCACGGTGCAGTGTTTAGTTTTCAACCTGCTTTCTCTGGATATTGAAGACACTCAAAAAAATAAATGAGCCAGATCTGTTTTTTTAAGCTTAATGTCCAATTCTTGGATTTGCATTTACAGATTTACCTGAATCTTGCCCTACAAGCAGAGCTGTGCAGCATCCCCACCTCTGTGTCAGCATGTCAAAAACATGTTAATAGCATGTTACCCATCAGAAGGGACTTTGACATCCTCAGACACCAATATTAGGGCACTTGTTTCATGCTTATCTCTGCCTCTTTACAGAAATTTCTTGTATATTTGTACATCTCAAGTGGAAAAAACCCCGAATGTCAGACTGGCTAAAGCAGAGTTTATCCACATGATGTGTTTCAGGGTGTCTGGGAAAACTGCATACTGAATAAAAGTCACATCTGGTTCACCCAAATTTACCAGCTTTGTCTCGGTTTCCAAACTTAACTGTCACCATGACAGGAACAAAGGAATTTTGTTCCTGTCACCACGAACGGCAAAGGAATTTTTTCTTCACATGCTGGACACTTCTTGCAAAGCTGTACATTGGCTTAGCTTCCTGAGGGTCTGTTACGTGGTGATGAGAGGCTGTGCCTGCAAGCAGGTTGTATTTCCAAGGGATACCATGGCTGTAACACAATCCTGTGTTAAAGCAACCGTTTCAACCAGTGATCTGAGTTCACAAGCCAGAAGCTGTTTCGTCAGCCTCTTTAATAACGTGGCAAATATAATACTCCCCCAGTATAAAGACCTTAAACACTTCCAAGGTGTTTACCATGAGACTCCTAATCAGCACTAATTAAACCAGAGCTGCCTTCAGCCCCACCTGGCTTGGCAGGCCTCTCTACAAGCTCATGCAGTGTAGCAAGTTATTTTCATTAAATGAAGAGAAGAAATTCCAAGGAAAAGGAAAGGCTTGGTAACCTGCCATAAAACCTCCTTGAAAAGTTACTTTTCTGTGTACCAGTTCATTCCAGCTGCAATATTGATGACTAGTAGAGACCAGTTCATCAGTCCCACCTCTCTCCGAATAAACACAATGACCATCTCTGGTACAAAACCCTTCCCACAGCAAATGTCCTAAACCTCCACGTACCTTCACCTGGCTTAACACAGAGAAACATGCTAATATTGTGATTATATTTATTTCAAAACCTTTGGCATGCATGTTAATGACATAAGGTGAGGGAGGAAAATCCAGCTTTGGAGAGTAACTCTTTTATATGATAAGGGGGTTGGAGCTAGATGATATTTAAGGTCCCTTCCAACCTAAACCATTCTATGATATTAAAACATGCCTATGCATAATTAAGACATCACAGCAAGGGGCCTAACAGAAATCAGAGGGAAGATTCACAGGCTCACTGGGCTGGGTCTACCCATAACTGCCTTTCACTGGTCTAAGGGTCAATGCAACTTGTTGGGAAGAGTTCAGTAGCTTTCTACATTTTACATTGGATTTCTCTTTAATAAAAAAGCAGACCACAATGGATACTTATCATACAGTCTTTTTATGGAAACAGAGGAGTTCAAAAGGAATTTTCAGGAGTCCTTTCAGAACTATGAAATAACAACCCTGTCAGCTCCGAGAGCAGCTCCCTCATCTCCAGACTGCTGATGGTGTTAAGGCATGAGCCATGTTGGGATGTGAAAATGTAATGATAAGAAGCAATGAACATTAAAACTCTTCTGACAACGTCTCAGGGTTTTGTTTTAATTTTACCATGGTTCTGTCAAGTTGAAATGAATTCCAGTTTCTGTGTCAGTTTTGCAGTAATGTTTCCCTCTTCTTTTTAACAACGTGCTGGTTTGGGAAGTGCTGTTTCCACTGCACTGCAGTTTCTTTAGCCAGGGTGAAAACTTTCGATGCAGTGTCCTGTGATGTCAGAGTTTGTATCCACAGAACAACGTGGAGGTTGACAGTTCATGTGGGTTTGCTGTTCTTTCTCAATTCTGACCCGACACGTTGCTGTGAGAATGAAGTTCTGATTCTGCTGGTGTTTTCTTGCAGCAGTGGTGATTTAGAAGCATACAGGGTACATCCAAAACCACATTTCAAGCAGATCATCAGCACTTGATCAGATGATAAGATCACCTTTGGCTGATATTGAAAAGCTCTGACAATATTATCAATTATTCATCCTACCTCAGCCCCGGCAATCAATTCTAAAATTAACAACTTTCGTCCCAGGATTTTCACAAAGGGCAAGCACAGAACAACCGGAGATTTCCCAGCCTAATAACAGGAGACTGTTATATTAAAACTGAGATCAGGAAACCCCAGCAGCACTTCAGATGTTTTGTCCCTTGCCTGGCTGCCATCAGTCCATCCACACACCGATGTCATTAATAGATACAAAGACTGAGGGATCTATATTGTCCCATCAGCAGAGAAAGGGAGGGAAAGCAGGGAAGGTGACTGAGTGTGAGAGCCTTGGTGATGGTACTATGTGATGCTTAGCTTGGGAATGTTCAGTGGCTATTGCACTACGTGGTGCACCATAGTTAGAGGGATGATTTTGGCTCTCCAGCCTATTAAAAGGCCATAAGTAAGCTACTCTTCCCTTTAAGACTGTTCAGTAAGCTCAGAATTTTTTCAGTAAAGTTACAACCTGTGTGTTGGTCATTTCAGAGCTCTTTACCACAGGAAAGCACATAAGATTCAATTTTTAGGGACTTTGTTCACAGCCACATGATAAAAATATTTGAATTCTGAGATTTTTTTCTAGCAGGAGTTGAACATACTTGCCAAAATTACCAACTGCCTGCTTCCTGCTTGTTTCCTGGCTTCCAAGAAAGCTGCTGCTGCCTGTGCAACAGAGCATGGATCTTATATTTGAAAACTGCCAGGAGGAAAAATACTTTTTGTGGTTCAGATCTTGGAAAGTAAGTACTAAAATAATATCTTGCAACCTGATCTGAAGTTGCTCTAGTCCTTTGCTCGTGGTACCTGCAAAACTTTATCATGACAGCATCCTGGGTTATCAGCCTTAGCTTTTTTTCTACATGTGAAATTTGTAGTTGCCAGTAAACACACATGCTTGCCATCCATCATCCAGCTGCTTCTTCCATCCAGAAGAGGCTGAGTGTGCAACAGCCTCCATCAAGTACAGTTGCCAGTACCAAAAATAAATGGTAAAAAGCATTCTGTGAAGGTCCGAAGCTCAGAGCAGGTGACCAGAGGAGTGAGGTGGGTCCATCCACGGGGCTGGAGCATGGTGTGGGTTTTCAGGAGCCCTGAACATCGTCACTCTCCTCAGGTCTGCAGTTCTTCTCTCTGGGAAGAAAAACCAGTTATGCATCTGTTGCAAATGCTCATGTTTCTGCCCATTGTACTCCAAAGGGGTTTTCCTGTTGTACAAAGGCCTCCAAAGGAACCATGAGGCTGCTGGAGCCAGTCCCGCCAGCTGAACCACAGAATCACAGAATGGTTTGGGTTGGAAGAGACTTCAAATATCATCTAGTTCCAACCCCTGCCATAGGCAGGGAACCTTCCACTATCCCAGGTCGTTCAGAGCCCCATTCAACCTGGCCTTGAACACTTCCTGGGTTGGGGCAGCCACAGCTTCTCTGGGCAACCTGTTCAGGGCCTCACCACCCTCAAAGGGAAGAATTTCTCCCTATTTGCTAATCTAAACCTACTCCCATTCAGTTTGAACCATTTCCTCCTATCCTGTTGCTACATGTCTTTGTAAAAAAGTCTCTCTCCATCCTTCTTGTAGGCTCCCTTCAGGAACTGGAAGGAAAACCCCCAGCAAAACACACCACATTGACAAAAGAGGTGTTTCCATTGTGGGCCCCACGAATCTGAGCAAATGCCATCAGCTCCTGTCACCACTGGAGTTCACTGGTACTCAGCCTTACATGACTTGAGACAGGAACATAAGGCTCATAAAGAAATATGGTTGTGGGGGGTGGAGGAATATATTAGTAAGAGTGGTAGATACTGCATGCACGAGAAACTCATACAGGGAGCTAACTAGGCCTTGAAGAGGTTTATTTTGTTTCCTCTCAGTTGTTCCACTGCTGATTTTCCTTTTTTTTTCCTTTTCTTTTTTTTTTTTTTTTGGCTAGGGGGAAACCTTTCAAGTCTATTCAGATTTAACAGTTGAAGCATAGTATTCCTCAGACAGTAATGTGTGTAGGTCACTGGCACGCCTCTTAGTGCTATAAACTTTTTGCTTCTTCCCTAGTGGGAGAGCTGTTCAAAAAGAAGGTGGCAGAAATTCTCTTCACAATATTGGATTAACATCTTGCTAAAGGACATAAATTATTTTCACCACTTAGTGGAAAACAATAAAAAAACCTGTATCTTTGCATTCACAGGAGAGAGCCTTTAGCAAAATTCTCCCAAAAAGCTGAGAGACAGAAGTGCTTTATTCAGCTTCCAATACTGGAAGTTGAAGATCAGAAAGCACCACTGCCTTCTTTTTGATCATGCTTTGCATTAGATGATCAGTCCTAACAGGTGAGCTGTTATAAAGTTAAATTCCAGAAGAAGAGCTTTTTAAGGGCATGCTGGTGACTAAATTCCTCATCTTGCAATTTTACATCTCTTATATCTAAATGGATAGCTTTTCTAACTCCTTTGCTAAGCCTTTGCTACAGGAGTTAATTTTCCTTGAATAAAGCACAGAAACTTCTGGAGAGACCAAATGAACCCCAGTCCATGGTGAGCAATAGCAGGTGAGAGCAGATCAGGAGCATTTATCATAGAATCATAGAACAGTTTAGGTTGCAGGTGACATTAAAGATCATCTAGTTTCAAAAAGATTCAAATATTATCTGGTTCCAACCCCCTGCCATGGGCAGAGACACCTTCCACTAGACCATGTTGCTCCAAGCCCCATCCAACCTGGCCTTGGACACTTCCAGGGATGAACCATCCACAGCTTCTCAGGGCAACCTGTGCCAGTGCCTCACCGCCCTCACAGGGAAGAATTCTTCCTAGTGTCTAATCCAACCCTACTCTCTTCCACTTTGAAGCCCTTGATCTCTTTATAAGGGAGATCTGTGCTTTCATTGGATATGAGCTCTTCATCTTAAATGTTTGGGTGTTTGTACATGCAAATGAATCAAAATGATGTATACATTTGAGGGGGAGGAAATCAAGTAATATTAGAGGTCTTACAGATTTAGAAATGTTATCCTGTCTTCTTTAACTTTGTTGAGTGACAGATAGGCCTGTGAAAGCCTAAATCTTCATGTGCAATATAAGTTGTGAAAACAGTGTGTGTCATACAGTGTACAGACGTGGGCTGGGCTGAAATTGCACACATAACCTTATTTTGGGCATTTCCTTGTCAGTGAATGCTTGATATTGGCATTTTGGTTTGAGGAGGAAGTCTCACATATTTCACAAATGAGATGGGGACAGGAGTGGTCTCATCACGTGCCTGTATTGCTGGTGCTGGAGTAGCATCATTGCTATTCATTCATTCCCTCATTCCAGCAAGCCGGGTGCTGGAATAGCAGCACTGGCAGCATTACCTATGAGACAGAGCAGGGTGGGATGCACCCTTTGGTGCTTAGGGTGGCTTTACCACAAAGCTCAAAAAATGACCATTAAGAGGCTGTGCATAGGTATCTACCTGGGAGCTACGTGCCCAGGCTCCTACCAGGGCAGTGGAGGATGGTTCACTTCACCTTTTACTTCCACTTGAGGTGCCTTAGTGCACTTTGCCTGACCTCCAGCAGTTGGTCTGGAAGGCCTCAGATCTCCCATATCTACCTGAGCCGTTGCAGGATATCTGAGCCACCCCCACAGGGACAGAAGATGTAACCCGGGGCTAGCTGTAGGTCCTTGTCCTTCTGCAGGAATACCTGTGAGCCAGGCAGGACAGCCCAGGGTCTCTAAAATGGCTCTGGATGCCCCTGCTGAGGCAATGGAACCCTGCCTGGGAGTCCCACCTGAAGCACAACAGCTCTCTCTGCTCAGCTGATTGAACCCAGCATCCCTCTGGCAGCACTGGGGAAGTACTGACTGCAGCAAACCTGGTCTCCAGACAGTGGGCCACCCTTGGGTCAGGTGAAGGTGGCTGCAGTGTCCCCCAGCTTCCTTGCCTCTGCCCTCCTCTCCTTCCAGCCAACATCATGTTCCCACTGCAATTTCTTTGGCACACTTGGCTTTCACTCCCCAGGATTTTCTGTAGCAGCCTCACGGTTTCAAATAAAGCCATAGAGTCACAAAATGCTAAAGGTTGGAAGGGACCTTAAACAACACCTACTCCCAACCCCCCTGCCATGGGGCAGGGGCACCTTCCACTAGACCAGGTTGCTCAAGGCCTTATCCAAGCTGGCCTTGGACACTTCCAGGGATGGTGCAGCCATAGCTGCTCTGGGCAACCTGTGCCAGTGCCTCACCACTCTCACAGTAAAGCATATCTTCCTAATATCTAATGTAAATTTCCCCTTTCTCTATTTGAGCCCATTACTCCTTGGCCTGTCTCTACAGTTCCTGATGAACAGTCCCTCTCCAGCTCCCTTGTATCCTCTTCCGAAACTGGAAGGTTGCTCTGAGGTCTCCACACAACCTTCTCTTCTCCAGGCTGAAGAGCCACAACTTTCTCAACCTGTCTTCATAGGGGAGGTGCTCCAGTCCTCTTATCAATTTTGTGGCCCTTCTCTGGACTTGGTCCAATAGTTCCATGTCCTTCTTATGTTGGGGGCACCAGAATTGTGCACAGCATAGTCCCCTGTCACCTCCTCCCTTGGCCTCCTGACTTGGCCCTTTCACACCTCCTTGCTCTGTCTCCAGGCCTCCTCCCAGTCATTCCCACCCATATTGACATACTCTCCTCTCCTCTGTACCCCTGCAGGGTGCTCCCAGCATCTCACTAAAACCCCTGCACCCTGCTCTGCCTGAGGACCTGCCCCGATCCCTGAACGCACCCTCGAGTCACACGTGTCCATGCAACATAACTCATCTTTGACAAATATGAGCTAAGCCCTGTGTGGCACAAGAGGAGCAAAGCAACAATCAGAGATGGAGGAACAGGGCAAAAACAGACCTCCATCTGTTCATGTATCCAGTCCAGGAAGGAAGTAGTTCGACTGTAGACACCCGGCTTGTTCTTTTCTGCACAGCCCACTCCGAAACTGGTGGTCCCCACCAACTTCCAGATACTCATATCTTCACATGCTAAAGGGCCCCCACTGTCTCCCTGGAGGACAAAGAATTAAAACAAACATCAATATCCCAGAAAATGAGGGGAATGTCTATTTGGGTAGGTAGGGGAGAGACTAATTCAAAGACTAATTCAAAGTAATTCAAAGTTTCTTGTTTCTGCCCTATTCTGTGTCCTGGGAAAAGCATATGTTACAGTAGAAGTTGGGAGACTTTTGAGACATGTATTAGATCATATTTTTCTTTCCCTGGCTCATGGCTATTGAGCTGAGCTGAGCCCAGGGTTGCAACAACAAGCTCACATCTCACCTCCTTGCCTGCCTGCTCCCACATTCTTTTCCAGCCTTTCTCAGACATTTTGCTAAGCCAATATTACTCAATGAACTCACAACTAAGTACTGAAAACTCTCTTTTTTGTTTTCTCTACCCTATGAGCATCAGAGCCATCACAACAGAAAAAAAGGGAATTTGTAACAAGCCTCTCCCAGTGGTGAGTCGGGCTCCCTGTGTCACGTGGAGCTGTGTGCTGAGCACGCTGCCTTTGGGCAGCAGTCCCAGGCAGAGAAATGTGCTGGTGCCAGGTACCTTGTTAGGGAGGTTATGTGCAAACATGCGGTTAAAGGAGGATCTATGCACCCACTGCCTTTGCTTCATTTTGTCCCTTGCATGATGGAGACAGAGCAAATTGGAAAACATGAAGTTCACAGAATTACAGAATGGTTTGGGTTGGAAAGGACATTGAAGATCATCTAGTTTTAACCCCCTTGCTATGGGCAAGGACACCTTCTAACAGAAATTCCTCCCCAGCCCTTGCTCCATGACTAGTTAGGCGAGTCCACATCAGTTTGGATGTGGATGAGACCTGGCATAAGATTGGCACCATCGTGACTTTGACAGTGATTTGGAATCATCATCATCCTGTGTTGTGAAGGATGCTCTGCTTCACCACTGCTATGAACCTCCCTTCCCCAGAGTCATCACTAGCCCTCTGAGTTACTCAAACACCTCTCCCTTTCTTCCTTCCCCTGCCTTGCTACTCTTTTCAAAATCACGCACTTCTGCTTCTCTGTTGAGACACGTGTTGGCTGCTTTTCCCCACGGGCTTTCCACACCTGGCAGGTCTCTGGAGCTGCTCACAGTGCAGGGAAGTGCAACCCAGCACAGTGCAGAGGCCACAGCCAAGGCAAAGAAAGGATGGCACCATGCTGCAGCACATGCAACTAATCAAAATATGCCTTAAGTAAATTTTTCTTCAGAAGTAGCAGATAAAGTCCACTGAAGAAACATAAAAAGGAAATTGTAGCATATGAATGCAAGCACAGAGAGTGACTGATAATCGTGGTGAGCAGAATAAATGGCACAAACCCAAATGTTTGCCCAAGAAAAGCTTGGGAGTGCCTTCTGATAACTTATCACTCATGTTTTTCCATTGCTGGTGTTAATGAGCACAGTTGCAGTTTGGAAACTTCCATACCTGGCAGGTGTCCACCCCTCCCTTTAGGAAACCAGCACAGAGCATTGAAGAAGTTATGATCCCACCGTAGACATCCCTGTGATTGCAAATTGCATTAGAAATCAGAGGAACACCTGCATAATTCATGGTGTCAGATGTATCACCTGTTAAAAAAAAAAAAGGAAAAAAAAAGAAAAAAAAAACTTGCTGCCCTTGAAAATAATAACCATTTGTAAACAGAATATGTTTTAGTATACAAAGAATTGGCAAGCAAGGATCAAAGAAATACAGTTAAAATGACAACACACAAGTAAGGCAACTTGGTGTCTCATCACTTACAGAATAAAGTAACTATCCACTCTATAGAGCTGTGGACTGTCACAGTGTATAATAAAATCTGTTCATTATGTATTTCCACTTTAAACTAGACAATCAATGACAGTAATGAACTAAAAAAACTGGTTGAACATTGCCTGCAATACTAGTGCCAAAATTAATTTCAAAGTCATCGCCTGTTCTGTTAGTCAACGAATCATCTGTAAACATCTGGTTTCTTTTAGAAATATGTATTTTATTTTATTTTATTCTGAGCCTGAACAGATCATTGCTACAAATGGAAGTATTTGCACACTGCCTATTGTCAGATCAGAGCTGACTTTTTATGTGGCAAGCCTTGTTTTCATTTTCTCCCCACCTTTCACTGTTATCTGTAGATCAGGTAACATTCTGTTCTTGTTCTCTGAACAAGGGAACACGTTAAATGACACAAATGAGGAATGATAAAGAACAATTACCTGAGAATTCACGTATTTTCACATGAAAGTGATCCAGTGTAAATTATTGATTAACATGACCTGTGAGTCATGGTAAGAAAAAAAAAAATAATACCCTTTTCTTTCTCACATTATTCACAGATCCAATTTCTGCATCACCCAACCTGCCTGAAAATGTAGGGATGGTCAAATCTTGCATTCTTGCTGTGTTTTCTCTGCTTGAAGTTATAAAGAGCCCAGCCTCTCTGTTTCAGAGGATGTGCTCATCCATTCCTTGTGATAAATGTTTCTACAGAATTTTTGCAGTTCGAATTGACCATAAAATTTAGGAATATGTATTCTTTCTCCCCCTTCCCACCCCACTGATATTCCAGAAAATTAAACATTGAACAATGCCCCAACCAAGTCCTGTATTTACTGTGGGAAAGATGTTTATATGTAGTGTAATCAGTAGCAGACCATTTAAAATACCTCCTTCCACAGTTGCTCCCCATCCTGATACCCAACACATTTTCCCTGCTGGGAAATGTTCACCATAATTAGGCAGACAAATTGGTTCTATGTGACCTATTTAAAAAAAAAAAAAAAAAGAGAGAGAGGAGAGAATTGCTTTTTATAATTTTAGCAAAAAAAAAATTTGTGCCTCAGAAAAACTGGAAGATTTGGCTCTCAGCGAAGCTGTTATGAACACCACCCACTCCCCACATAAATAGCCTGGCAGTTCATCAGGTCTCTTGTCTCATGGCCAATATGAGGGGTTTGAAACAACACCCACGCAGGGCCCAATGAGTTTTGAGTATGAAGCAGCAGAAGGGGATGTCAGAAGGTCAGTCAATTGAAGAATGAGCAAACACAAAATGCACAGTGTGGGCAGCTGATGGGCAGATCAGAGGCCCCACGGCACAACTGCTCTGGCAAGACAAGGAGCTGTGCGTTCCTTGTGCTCTTCTGAAAGGGCAACCAGACACCCCAGGGGGCTCTTTGCTCCCCACCCATCAGCTCACGGAGTTCCTGTGTCTCTGTGCTCTGGGTTATGGGATGTTATGCCATATAATCAGTTTTTGATCCTTGCAGGGACAAACGGACGTGTCGAGATGAGCCGACGCTGAGTAAAGGGAGGGAAAATACAATGTATTACTGGGCAGTTCCAAGTGGTTCAGTTCTCCACAGTGGCCCCAGCTCAAACATCAACCCCCCAGCATGGACCATCCAACCCCCCTGGGGCATGGTGGGTATCTCGCTCAGGTGCAGAGCCACAACTGTTCTTGACAGCCTCCCAAACTTATTCCCGAGCAAAAGAAAACAGCATCAACTGAGATATAAACCAGAACAAAATCAAACTTAATTTTCATTAAAAGTGAAAGTTTAAAGTATTACACGAGAATTGATTTTGGAATTGACAATCTAGATGTGTCAGAGAGCACCTGCTCCCCTTTGCAGAGAGCTCACAGTGACTAGGAGGCATTGGCAGGCGATCCTGTAAACTCATTCAATATTATTATATATTATTTCAACTCGGTGTGTCAGCTGCAGGTAGCATCCTGATGAGAAAATAAAAGTAGTTTTAATTTAGAAACATAACTATATTTGAACTGCCTTTTCTCCTCTTTGAGATTTATGCTTGATTTTCAGCTTTGGACACTGCTGGATATCCCGATACTCACAGAAGGGACATGATAAAAATCTCTGTGACCTTCAAGTAAAACGAGGCAGGGCGTTTATTTTAGATAGGAAAAATATTTAGAAATAATAAAGTTAATGTTTGCCTATTATTAAATACCTTCAGTAAATCAATACTGGGGTGGACTGGGAACACTTGGCAGCACGTTGTTGCTGTCCATGCCTGGATAGGGAGTACAGAGGAGTTCCTGATACAGGTCAGGGTGGTTTGGTGGTTTCTGCTGGTGTTGTCTGAACAGGAATCACGGCCTTGTCATCACAGCAGCAGTCTGCCCACATCTACACTGCACATCTCTCATTGATTTTAGAGGGGATGGGAATCCACTCCACTGTCCTGGGGCAGGCATAGGCATCAACAGAAGTTTCCCTGTCTGTACCAGGAGAGACCCTTCTTTCTTTTAGCTGGAAAGGTGAGAAAGTCTAGTGAAAGCCAACAGAGATAATTACCATTGAGAGCAAGTGGTGCTGCCAGTTTCATCAGGGCTATATCATTTCCCATTGTCTTGGGTTTATAATTTCGATGGTATATGATTTTTTCCACTGAATAGGGGTGAACCTGGGTGTCTTGCTGAGTCACAAAACCGACCTGCACGCTCCATGAGCTCGGCAAGTACAGGCTGAAATAAAGAGGCAGAAGACAGTGAAAAACCTTCAGGAAAACCCTCAGGTTTTCTAGTTGTCCTCTGAGCTTATGGACCACATAAAACTCTACACTCAAATAGCTCTAGTCTGCTGTACTTGCTTACCTGTCCATTAATATTGGCTATGTTTTACACCTAACTTCTAAAAATGTAGAAACGATGACTAATCTTACTAAGACATTGGGTCACTGATATATTATCTGTGCAAATATCTGTATATTTCCACAAATATATGAGAGTTTTGCTTTAGCCCAGCTGTCTGTCCTCCTGTGAGACCCCACAGCTGCTGCCTGGCACACCTCTGCTCAGCCATACCCCCCCCAGCACTTGTGGCAAGGCATTTTCAAGGAGAAACTTTCCTTCTGGAAGGTGTTTCTGCCCCTAGTTCATGAGTAGGCACACCTTTCAGCCTCCAGCACATGAGCAGCTCCTCTTCTCTTGACTTCACCCCACTGGCATAGCAGAATAGCTGGGAAAAGGCTCCAGGGATGCTGGTTGTGTTGCCAGCTCCCATCCCCATCAGCCTTTAAACACATCATGACCAACTGGGTTGTGGGGGACAGAGCCAAGGAAAAAAGTCCTAAAATGCTTAATTCCTAAGGGCTCTAAATAGGATCTAGTAGTGGGATTTGTCTGTCCCATCCTTTGTCTTTTACTGAATTAAAAACACGCTAGAGGACTTGCTCAGAAGAAGGCATCCATGTTGTGGGTGCTTAAAAGTGGTCAGGAAAATCCCATTTTAGCTGTCTAAATGTCTTTGGTGAAAGTGGTATGGAGTTTGTAAGGGCAAGAAGAGCTCTCCTGCACTATTAGCATCAAACAAGACTGCAAACCCAGACAGCTCATTACAAATATGAGAGAGGGCTATGTTTGTCAAGATGATGAGTTTAAACTTCACAAAGAAGATGAGTTTAAATAACTGTTTAACATCTATTTACAACTATAAGACCTCTTCAAACTGCATGAAAGGGAGCAGTGAGTATGTGGCAAAGGGTACAAAGCTCAGCACAACTGACTAACAACCACTGATTGATCCTGTCACCCTGAAAAATGATTTTTTTTTTTTATTTTGGAGCTCCAGTGGATCAGAGGAGCCAAATACAAATTCCTCTTGAGCTGCTAACTCGTATGCAATGTACAGAAATTGCAGATCAGGATACTTAAAATCTAGCACTTAAATGTGGTTGTAAGCCGATTTCCCACAAAGCTGGGAGTGACCAGAACACCTTGAAAACAGGGGCCCTGGATTAGGACCACTTCTAGGGGAGGCTTTTTTTAATAAAGACTCGTGTGACAAGAGAGAGAAATGGCTCAAATGCTATGGAGCCCAGGAAACAAGGATAACCCAATGCTGCCGTTTGTTTTTAGGAGACAGCGGGGTGCATGAGCAGCGGCCCCACACGCAGTGGGACACCCCGAGCGGGGGGATTTGGGGACTCACTCGTAGACGCAGTGGGCGGCCGTGAGGATCCAGCGCGGGGTGATGACGGAGCCCCCGCAGAGGTGGTGCCCCTGGAACTGCAGGCTGACCTGCCAGGGCCACTGCCGGGGGGACGACGCGTTGCCCCCCACGATCCGCGGCCCGTAGCTGGCCCGTGTCCCGCACGCTGCCAAGAACCAAAGGTTACGGTCCGTGGAGGAAACACAGGCCTGGTTTTGATCACCTTCAGCCCCTCCTCTGGGAGGCTGGGAGGTCTCTGCAGCCAGACCATCCCCATCCCAACCCCACGGCCCAGCAGGCTGTGGCAGCTCCCAGGAGTTTATCCTCCTCCCTCCCATCCCTGCAGCATCATCCATGGCCTGGGGGCTGTGGAGGTCACGTCTCTCCCCTGCAGGGAGTACTCAGCTGAGCTGTAAAACCCACAGCTTTGCCCTCCTTACACGCACAGGTCCCACACAGGCCGACTGAAGCATCTCCTCTCCCCTGGTGATGATTTTGCTGTTGTAATTTGATTTTTTTGTATAGCTGACATGGAAGAGTGTGGGATGAAAGTTCAAATGTTAAGGCAGAATTTCCCTTTCCCTGATGAGGTGGCAAAGAGTAGAAATTACAGTATCAGTCCAGGGACTCAACTCACAATCTTGAAATGCCTGCTTCCTACTGGGATTCTCACTAAAATGCTCCTGCTATCTGATGCTCCCAGTCTGCACTCCCAGACTATTTTCACTTGCTGAAGTTCTTTCAAATTTTACTCAAGAAATATAATTTTTCTTTAGTGTGATAAACTGATAGTGTAGTATGCCCTGAGTACAGAATTCCTCCCAACTCTTGACGTGCAGCAGATAAAGAAGGACAGAGGACAGTTTCTGATTTAATTTTCATTTTTCCTGGTTCTTACCTAAGCATTTTAAGATGATCACATTGCCAGAAGTGCACTCCTCTCTGAGATGAAAAGACAATGCAATGTTAGTTCCAATTCACAAATACTGGTTTGGGTTTTTTTTTTCAGCATTGTGTCATTTTCCTGTGCACATAAATATAAATAACTCAAACATTGAAAGAGGTACAAAGCCATGAACTCATCCAACCTAATTAGGGCATTTAACTGAAATACTTAAGTCAGGAGCTTGGCCACCACCAGGAGCCTGCAGACCATATGCTGCCCTGCTGAAGAGTGGTTCACTCTTCCATGAGGGAAGGCTCATCAGCAGTTTTCAACATGTGATCTGTAGTCTCCTTGGATCCATAGCTTTCTTCTCAGTGGAAGGTAACTAAGAAAAACAAGCATCTGTCAGGAGGAAGAAATGGACCATAAAGGGTTCATAAACCCACTGGGAAATATATAAGGATCTGTAAACCAAAACAAACTGCTTCATAATGGAAAAAGATAAGTGCCTGGTGTCTATCCATTTGCAAAAATGGGATCTTGGGACAAATAGTCTTTTCAAATAGCTCATTTGAAAGCCTTTGTTGATTTTAATGGGTCTTGGATCAGACTCAATTCATATTCCAGCAAGACTGATGCTGAATCTTGGTCTATGATGCATAACACCACCAACCCCTTATGAAGTACTACATGCCTGAAAAAATAACAAGAATCCCAAACTATTAGTAATCCCCCTTTTATTGACTTCTCTCTTTCTGTCAGGAGGAAGGAGCTAAGGCATACCTGAGGTTTGTTGCATTGTGCAGGGATGTCACTTGATCAGCTGAAAACCATTGGCTGAGGGATACGAAATGTCTTTGAAACTGTTTTTCGACTGCTGCCACGGGCAGGTAACCTGAACTCACGTAACTGCAAATAAACCATAAACACAGCTCCCTCAGACAGCATTTCAGCAATCTGTTTAAATAATTCAGCAGTTCCACTGATGAAAACCCAGTGTAGCAACCACAATAATCAGACTCTGACACTCGATAAGGTAATTCTATCCTCCCGCTATGCTTCTTACAGCATGCATGTATTTTTTACATAATCATGTGTGGAAGCCACACATGCTGAAATGCATTTAACTGGCAGAGAAAGTAAATTTTAATTCCAGTATTGCAACAACGCTTTTTATTGTAAGTGGTTGGCACATTTCCTGAGGCACTAACAAGCTCATTGTTTCCTTTTTCTAGAATTATGTTTTGCAGCAGGGAGGATGAGTAATTTGTAATTTTCTCTTCTCTTCATTGTTGAACAATTGAGATGCATTTTGTCCTAAAGGTAACAAGAGTTTATTCAAAGAGGCTTTATAGTGCTAACTATAATGTGCAGAAATTAGAATGATGCTGTTGTAAGAAATAACAGCACATCATGGCAAATCAGAAGTTCCAACTCTTTCTCAATGTTGTGAAAGTTTGTGAAAGAAAGGGTGCTTTTTCAGTAATGGGATCAATCCAGCAATAACCACGTCACCAGGTTCTTTTGTAACTGTGAGGTGGACATTAAATCCTACCAGATGTCATGACATGACTTGTACATACAAATTTTGTACAGAGGAAGTAAAAGAAATGGAAAATGCTCATATGATTTTTGTGCCTCCCCACAGGCTGTAAGCTACTGGAGTGACAGACAGGATTCAGGCACTTGCACCCCGTAGGCAAGATTTAACCAAACCACTGTATTCGGCCGTCATGCAGGATTTGTAGCAGTAATAAAAGCCATTTGCAGTGCACAATTATCCGGGACTATTTCCCACATCATCTCAAATTTCAATGTGAATCTCACAAATGTGAATTGTTAAGACATTTTTCTTTTAAAGAATGAGCTAATACAAGGTTTCATTAAAAACACTGAAAACCTCAGAGTTTGTTCAAAATGCCAAATACAGTTTCTGGCATTTGCTGTTCATACCTCGAGAACCCCAGGTGTTTGCAGGTAGTATTTCCATACTCTGCTCTCCAGTCGTCAGAGCAGACTGTTCTCCAGGATCCAGAAGTGAACACTTGCAGCACTGCCTTCTTGCCACTCAACCTGACTTTGAGATTCAGGAGAAGAGAAGCCTGAGTGAGTTGTGAAGATGAACCATTAGGCACACAACAGGTACACAACAGGTACTCAGCAGCATCAATGCACCGCTATGGTATCTGTGTTTTCTGGCTCACCAAATTTTTACTGCTTGCCTTTTTCATCACTTGGATTCTTTGACAGAATTTTTCTGTGCTTTTTTTTCCTCCCCATGAAGGAAGGGAACCTTCCCTAATGTTCTAGCTGAGCTAGAACCACCAGGAAAAAAAACATCTCATGGGAATGGGTAGGGAATGCCAGCTCTAATACAGGTGGAGAAGGCTGCCTTGCCCTCCAGCCAGCCTAAGCAATTCTTGCTGATTGCAGTGGGTTGGAGCTGCAGATTCCTGGCAGGAATTTTATGAGGAAACTTGTGGTCAAGATAAGTGATGAAAGGTGGCTGGCACCTCCTGCACTCCACAGCACAGTCAGAGATGCCCCTGTGCCCAGCTGCCCAGGAGGCATCTGGACCTGGGAAAGGCACATCTACATGGTCTCCCCAGGGAGAAGGGAGGTCACGCACGTGGTCACTGCTGGACAGGGGTTTCCCACCTGTCCCCATGAGACAGTGTTACGGAAAAGCAGAGGTATTGCCACAGGCCTCACAGAGGCCTGAAGGCTGAACATCTTGTGTGGGGTTAGATGGGGCCAAAAGCTTGTGGTTCTTTTCATTCCTAGTACTGCACAGAGGGAAAGTTGTGCTGCCTCCTCACCTTTAGGTACAGGAGCCAGAATTACAAGTGCACTGATCTAAAAACCAGTTATTCTGTTTACTAACATTAGACTCCTTTCTCTCCAGTGGCTGTGAACACCACATAGCACAGGACAGAGAGGGACCATTTAAAATGGCCCTGTGATGCCCAAAACCATCACAGAGAGAAACTCAGACAGAGGGTATAAATTTCACATGTAGCAGCAAACTCTGCATCACTCCATGTACAAAAGGAAGTTGCTGGTGTCTCCCAATACCTTATCCCTTAAGATAATATCAGGCTTTTACAATCTTCAAAACCAACAGAGTGCAACTGTATGCCAGTGAATACAGAGTTCTGTATTTACACACCGTAATGCAGTGGTGTTATACCTTGCAGGCAGAGGAAATGCTGGCAGTCAAAAAGCATCTGGGCTTCTAACAGAGAAAGATGCCCAATATGGCAGTTGCAATATTTAGGAATCATCACATTTATTTATCTTAAGGGCAGCTTGATTTCTCATGAACTGTAAATCAGTACCTCAGGGAGGTTGTTCCTCTGAAGTGGTGATTTAGATAATCGATCTCTCTCTATCTTTCTTGTCTCAAACTACCCCAACTCTTTACAGCATGCATTGTGCCAATGCTACAGGAGGAGGTAGGAGGGATTTAAATCAAATTTAAATTACCACATCTGTACTCATCCTCCCCTTCTTTGCAGTTGAAGACACCATTGCACCTGGCTGATTTCTGGATACACTTAAAGGACGATCGACAGCGAAACTTCCCAATGCAGTTGTATTGGACTAACAAGAATGAAAGAAAACAAAGTGATGCAAACACACCTGGATATTAATTTAACACTTCTGGCTTCCATTATCTGGCCAGATTTCAGTCTGGCTAAGGAAAAGGCAACTCCTGTACTCTAGGAACTTTTGAAATAGAACCTGGAGGTTGCTACCTGGTGCTGTTAAACTCATCCATTAGTAATGACTCGTAGGAGGAGTCAGCCTTGCTGTCTGTGCTGACTCCTTCCCAGATCCCTCTACCCAGTTTAAGTTTCACTCCAGGGCAAGTTGCTGCCTGGTACCTCAGTCCCTCAGCAGCCAAGCAAGGAGACCCTTGTAAAACACAGCCAGAGCACGCTCTTCCCAAGGGGATGCCTCAACCTCCTTTGAGCTTATCCCTGTTGCAGGTGTGAAGACACATCCACGTATTTGGCCCCCAGACTTGGGAGGGTCACACTTCCCAGTTGCAACTAAACTCATTCTGCGTTTTCTTCTCCTTTGTAGAAGTTGGTTTTGATAGGGAACAGTTCTTTAATTCTTTGAAAGCAAGCTTTGAGAAGTGAATTACAGGACAAAAGTGTGGTGTGAGCTACCTGGAGCCTCCCCCAGGTTCTAAACTCAGCTCATCACCCGAGGGGAGTCAGTGAAGTTTTACTAGAGAAAGGTTTCCTGGAGCTGTGTGTTCCCCAGTGTTGTAAATATTACACCAATCCTCTCAGGGGTGCCAGGCCTATTTCATCCCTACGTGTAAATAAAATTTAAAGCCATCACATCAACAAGATTTTTTACTTCAGCAAACAAGCTGCAGTAGTAGTTTAATTCCATTCTCAGTAAAAGGTTCATGAAAAATTAAGCATTTGAATGGTTAAGCGAGAACTTAATGAATAACTAATGGTACTCACCACCCAGGCCAATGGCAGCTGCTAGGATTACTGCAAGGAACAAACCACAGATATATGGAAAGTATTTTAGGGAGGCAAAAGCATGGCACATCGAAGGTGGTTCGATATCTCCTGGAAAGCAAACAGAGAACAGCTTCTGGGAAGTTGAACCTAGCTGAGTTTGCAACGGAAAAAGATTTATCTAACATTAAACTAGGTGGCATTAGAACTTCCTGCGTACACTTCACGAGCTGACCTGACCTGGAAGGGTTGGGATCCTCTGTCTCAGGGACTGAGAAGGCTCCAAGTGCTTTGGGGCTGTGGGTGCTCTCAGACACCCCTTCAGCATTTGCCTCGTGAGGGCTCTGAATTGTGCCCCTACAGAGCACCTGGCCTGTCCTCAATGCAGAGGAGAATGTGAGCTCTAAGTTTTCATTTTCAGGGGTTACATCACACTGTGAGCTTTTCAAGTACATGAGCACCTCTGCTGAAAATGTGAGTCCCGGAATAAAAGTGAAATTCAGACCAGTTTTGTTTGTGTAATCAAACCTGTGTGCAGGGCACACGTATCCTCTCTGAAGGCTTCAGAAAGTCAAGTGGACTAATAAATCTTTCAGTGGAAGCAGCAAAGAACAAACTAGTTTGAGTCTCCTCCTTATGACTGTTCTCCTCAGTGATGTCTCCTGACTCTTGCTGGTCCCAGTGCTCCCTTCAACCACAGCCCCAGCTGGATGCTGAGCATCCTGGGAATCCTGGGAATTTTGGGAATTCTGGGATGAGGCCAGAGGCCACATAGCTCTGCCTCATGCACTGGGGAGCTAAGTCCAACGTGTGATGAATTCCTCCAAAGCTGGGGTAATGGAGACACAATAATTAGTAGGAGGAGCCTACAGGTTCAGAAGCAAGAATATTGGAAAAAAAATAGGATTAGCTAATAAATAGGTACTCAAGACAAGTAGGAGGAGAGTCATTGGTCTTTTTGGACTTGGAAGCAAGATTAACTGAAAGTTATAGAAAACTAAATTAGCAAAAAACCAGGATGCCCAAACTGGTCTTGAAAACTGTGTGAAAAAGTGATCTGTTAAAAGTTTTGCCATAAAGGCAAGAAGGGAACTTGAGCGGTGGCTCAAGGCCGAGTCTTGAGTTTTCAAGTGAAAAAAATATGCATCTAAAGTTAAAATATAGATTGGTACTAACTGCTGAATATATTTCATGAGCTTGACCTGCTCACCAGCCACTGACCTCCATAGTTGACCTGCCATTGTCAATCTGGAAGACAACAACAGACTCCACTGAAAATAATGAACAGTTCACTTGTTTCAAATGTATTCTGATATACAAGGGGCAAACTATGGGGAAATAGCAAACACAGCTACACAGGGACTGGCAGAACCTTTTCTTCAATTTTAGTTCATACTGCTCTTCATCCTCTGATTATTCAAGCTTTGAATTTCAGATTGGCAAACATTTGCAATCAGTCAAGGATAAGGAGTGTCTGCCAGGGTTTATAGACTCTCTAGTAAATCCCAGTTTACACAGGCTCTCTCAGGAGAAGCTGAGTAACTAGTTTTGGCAGTGGAAGTGGTGCCTGGTATGCCAAAAATCTGAGACAGCTGTAGGAGCTAATGGACCAGAAAATTAAATCTCCATTCTTGAAGCTCAGCCTGCCTCTGTTGAAGCTAATGGTCATTTTGCCATGAAACCTACGGGAAGCAACAAACTTCCAGGCTGCTGTATTGTATATTTGGATTTTGTAATGGACCGATTTCCAGGTTGGTAAAATTTCAAATAAGCCATACAAAAATGTTCCTGAAAAGCCTGGGGAAATGTTTGCTGTGTGGCTGAAGCGTGTGAATAATGTGGCTGTGAAAAATGCTTGTGTGTGCAAGCCAACACAAGATGTCATCACGTTACTAAGCTGGCAAACCTCACAGCTAGGGGAGGGAGGTTGTGTTTCTTCTTCCTCTAAGTGATTGTTTTGAGTGGGCAAGCACAGTTTTGCAAGGCTAAATATCTGCATTACCCACTTAGATTGCAAAGGTCAAAAAGCTGTGCAATACTCCTACCAGGTCCATCTGCACTGGTGTCCACTCTGGCTTGTGGTATGAAGAAAAATCTTTTGAAGGTAAACTGAATTTGTGGTGCTGCTGGAGGTTCATCTTCTGCAACAGAGATGACTTCAAGACTTCCAGTAGTGGGATTTGTCTCTTGCACCTGACTCAACAAGAGAAAAAAAGGAGAAAGAACATAATCACCTTGTAAAATGTTGTCATAGAATCACAGAATGGTTTGGGTTGGAAGGGACCTTAAAGACCATCCAGTTCCAACTCCCTGCCATGGGCAAAGACACCTTCCACTAGAGCAGGTTGCTCCAAGCCCCATCCAACCTGGCCTTGGACACTTCCAGGGATGTGGCAGCCACAGCTTTTTTGGGCAACCTGTGCCAGTGCCTCACTACTCTCACTTTAAAGAATTTCTTCCTAATACTGAACATAAACAGTCTCATAGCCTCCTTTAGGTACTGGAAGGCCACAAACTGGTCTCTCCGGTGTCTTCTCTTCTCCAGGCTGAGCCCCAGCTGTCCCAGCCCATCTCCATAGCAGAGATGCTCCAGCCCTCTGAGCATCTTCGTGTCATCCTCTGGTCTCACTCCAGCAAGGTCCATGTCCTTCCTGTGCTGAGGACCCCAGAACTGGACACAGTACATTGTTATGCAGTTAATGTTCACATGAGGAGCACTTATAATTAATTTACCAGCAAACTATTGAGGTTAATTTTTGTTCATATTTTTCTAAGCACCATATCTACCTGTAATATCTCCCACTGGGGGTGTAAATCCATCCCCTGCTCTATAATTGCAGTAGGAAACAGGAGACTAAAAGGAATATGACAACTGCACAGAACCTGACAGGATCCTCGTTCAGGAGCCCCTGAATTTTACTCCAGTAAACTTTTGATGACTTACCATGCGGTGGAAAAAAACCCCACAATTAAAATGAGCTACACTAGAATTCAGGGGAAATAGATTTGAAATGCTAATTTCTGGCTCTGCACGTTGGCAAAAGGGGTCAGATTTTCGAGCTCACAGTGGTGTGAAATGGGTCCAGGTTTGTTAAAGACAGTGCAGCTGTAAAAGCTGCTGTAAAAAGCTGCTCTAAAAGCAGCATATTTTCATGGTCATTTCCAGAAAAGGCTTACAATGACAAATTTTAGGCTAAGAATACGTGTTTTATCTGTGACACTATCTTCAAGTCACCTGGAATATCTTTTCACCTTTCAGCAAACAACTGCAATAAGGTTTACACTCTTTCATTTGATAAAATTCCACGTGTATTTCAATGAAAATAAACGAAACTTCGTAGAGAACCTGCTAGCACGGTTTTTAATTATTAAAAACAAAAAAAGTCTTCTGACTGGCACACAATTTGCCCATCAGGAGACAAAACAGCATTGTGAAGCAAATTACACGAAAGACTGACGCTGACGTTTCGTTCATTTAGAGGTTATCACATGCTCCCAAAGCTTCACTCACCTCTTCCTGAGAAGTCATAGCTAAAAGCAAAACTGTTTTCTTTCTTCATTATCAAAAGCAGCCAAAAGGAAATTCTGAGTCTGCTGAGCTGCTCAGCTCTGGGACAGTCTCCGCCGAGCCCCACTCAGCCTGTTCCGTGCAGCGTTACGGCAGCAGCCCGTGTAACCCAACCTGGTGAGGGGTATCAGGTGGCCTGGCTACGGAAAAGGGAAGATAAAAATTCAGCATGCTTTCTAATTAGCCTAAGAAGGCCAGGTAATATCGTGGCATTTGCAAACCTCTCTGTAACCCCTCAGCAAAGGAGCACCACAAGCAGCACACCCTCATCTCCCGTCGAAGCTCGTGCAGCTGAGGAGCCTGGTGGTCCAGAGCTGTGGGTGGCAGAAGGCAGCAGCAGTCCCAGAGCTTCATCTCTTCAGCACACCTTGCTCTTCCCTCCCTTGGTTTACAGCCTTTGCTGCGTGCCTGCATGGGGGTTTTGAAAAAGACCCATCGTTTAGTTATGGATGATTTCTGTAATTAAATGTTGCACTGTGTTTTGGAAGTACTCTGCAAGCAGTTGTCTCGTGTTTCTGAAGTAGCAACTCACTTGTACTCAGGGATTTAGGAAATGAAAATGTATTCTCAGCTGCAACAAATGCTCAAGAGTAGTGATAATTTGGCTTGTTTTTTTCACCGAGAAGAGAGATCGATGACAGAGGGAGGGGTCAAGGAAGAAGGAGGAGGAGACATGAAGCAAAAAGCCACAGCAGCATAAGTGAAACAAGGCTGCTGAGAGGCCAGGAAAGAAATGAAGGTTTTCCATGACAAAATCCATGTCCCTGGAATATGGCTGCAATGAGAGAAGATGTTCAGTCCCTTCACTGTGCACGATGGAAACTGGCACTTCCAAAGGAGAGGACACCATATCGTAATCCTGTTAAATTAAGCCATGGCAACAAGAATTCTTCATCATCTCCTGTGTCACTCTTTCAATAGCCTTCCCTGGAAATGGGAACACAGGGGGAGATAAGAAAAAAATAAAATAAGAAATCAGACAAAGATGTATAAAACAAGCTGCATTTCTTGAGTTGCTCACAATGCTCTGACATTCTCCCCACCAGGCTTCAGAGACAAATGGTTGGACAAGCAGCTCAAACTGACCAGGTGCCCCAAGGGAAACTTTAGCCAAAGAGGGGGCAAAGTGAGGGCTTATTTCAGGAGATGAGCAGCTCAGGTTATCCTTCCAGTCCATGGGGTGAGATGTCCTGTTCTCCCCAGGGAGTGGTGATACCTCCAGTGAGGACAGCCCAGGCCAGAAAAAAACTTTCTCCAACCAATTTACCTGCTCTGACCATGCTGGAAAAGCCTGGGGACTAGCCATGGAAACTATGCAAAGGCTCCCACAGTGGGACTGGCACAAGTGGAAAGGACAGGCTTCTTCTCCCTGCTGCCACCCTGAGCTGCTCCAAGCTCAGCCTCAGGGTGTGATGTCTAGATGGGACACTGGCATTCATCTCACACTGTTGGGTTGCCCATTGCCTTTGGCTGAGAAGACCAATGCAGGAGTCACATATGATAGGGACAGGAGGACATGAAAACTGAGCCTAAAAGGAAAGAATCTGGCCTACAGACTAACTTCTTACATGCTGCAGGACAGCCCCACTTGCCTCTCACACAGTGCAGTCACAGCTGGGGTGGATTTCTTGGCTTTCAGGAGACAGTTTAAATTGAAAGGCGAAAAGATTCCATATCAGCCCTTTCAGCGAGTCCACTCTCACTGTGGTGGTTACCTTTGGGCTTCTAGTCTTGTTCTGCCAGGGTGGATAGGAAAAGCCTGAAGACAGCTTTTGCCTTTTTAGCCACCCTGCAACAAAAATTCAGACTCTATGAAAACAGGATGTCAGCTTCTGTCAGAAAAGATCACAAGAGGTTTGAGGCTTTTTTTTTTTCTTATTTGCTTCTCTCTCTCTCTCTCTCTCTCTCTCTCTCTCTCTCATTTTCTTCCTCCCCCCCTCCCTCCCTCTCACCCTCCTCTCACCTCCCAGTTTCTGTCACACTCAGCACAGGGTCAGGGGACGAGCGGAGGAGATGGCGGTGGCTGAGACGCAGCTCTATGCAAAGGTGTCCAACAAGCACAGGAGCAAAAGCACCTCTGCCCTCCTCGAGTCCCTCCTCGCCAAAGGATTCCCGGCTCATACCGCGTGAGTAATTTGTTCGGCTGCCTCCGCACAGTGAGATTTATTTAAGACATGAGGTGCTTCCCATAAAACCCTGACATCAGGCAGGTCGCTTTTTTTGATCAGGAGAATGTGCTGCTCCTGGGGTTGAAGTCCCTACACAGGGATCAGACTTGTCTCGCTTCAAATTTCACGTAGAGCGGTGTTTATTGCTCACATAGCAAAACCAACCTGCTCAATATCAATTTTTATAAATATATCTAAAGTATATCTGAAGATGTACACCCTTCCACATCCTGAGCCTGAGAGTCTTCATGGTGAGTTAAGAAGTTGGCCACAGTTTGCTCTCGGGATACATCATCTTTCATTTTTTTCTGCTTATCACTCTTATTATAAGAGAGTTAAATGAGGATGTAATTTCTATCCAAAGTTTTTTTCAGGCCTGGTAAAGATCTCCTGCTGGATATTGTTTGGATGTTTCCTGCTGGAAATTGATCTAAAAGATTAATTTTAATTTAAGATTAGGATTAAGATTAATCCTTAACAAGATCCCATCTAAATCTGTCAATTTTTCTTCCTGTCTTGAATCAGAATCTTGTTCTAAAAACTCTTGTTCAAGCTAGAATATATAATAGTAAAGAATGAGGGTCTATTCTTGGCAACCCAAATGATTGGGAGATTAAGTGGGGCAGATAACTAAGTAAATAAAAAAGAAACATGGTGGTCACTCGTCCCCCAAACATGTCTCTCATTGGACTGGCAAGTTTTGGGGAGGGTTTTCCAACTTCTGAAGGGAAAGCATGGACATTTTGGTTCCAACAGTTCAAAAAATAAATCTGATTATTGAAATAATAATCAGGTCGAAGAACCCCTCACAAATATATTTTAGAAAGGAGAGCAATATCTCCCTTTTGACTGAGAATTAAGCTAGTTGGAAAGGCTCCATTTATAAGTGCTGTGTTGCTTTTTTAGGAACAGCTGTGTTAGCAATTAACATCAGACATGATGAGCAGAGCTTACAGGGCAAATGTGGGTGCCTTGTTCCCAGTTATGCAAAGTGGAATTTTAGCTGTGGGCTGAAAATCTGGCTTGTCGTTTCTCTAGTAATACTGTAAGTTTGGTTGCCCCAAAGTAAAGGCTCGTTCTTCAAATTTTTGTCCTCTATGTCATGCTTTTCTAGTCCCCTTCAAAGCACTTTCTGCTCTTACTGAGATGGCTTTGTGCTTCCCAGGTCAAAACCAAAAAATAGTGGCAGAAATACCATGCAACTGACCCAAAATAACAAAATATCAAAAAGCAATTTTAAAAAAAATTATTTAATTTTATTAACTTTAAGACCTTCAAAATTTTGACTGTGTTTTTATAAAATCTATTGGCTGTCTCTGTTGTTCCTGGATTGAGCCATAAATTAAAAGTTTCTTTTGAGATGTCCTGGCCTGAGAAGTACGAGGCTGGGTGGAAGTACTACAAAATCTTTCATAATGTAGAACCAACAGGCCAAAGCAACATTTTCCCAAAGAACAAAACTCAAATATGTGAGGGTCAAGTCTAGCATTAGATCAACAAATTGGGCCTCCCCTGATGCTTATGGAGGATGGAACTGTGCCATCAGTTTTTGTGTTAGGGAAGAGCCAGTTTATTCTCGCTGTAAATTTATTTTTAATCTACTTTCAATACAGATTTTCAGTGGTTTATTCCTACTCTCTACATGAGAAAAATTGGTATACGCAGATTTTGTTCTGTGCATTATCGTTCAATCTTCACTGCTCATCTTGGAAGAGTAGGATGTTTAGTCACAGCCTCATGCACTCCTAGTGCTAAGAGCTCTGTAAACCGTGATGGAAATCATCAAACAGCCAACATGTATAAGGAGACAAAAGGTGGGGACAGGTGTGGAGAGTTACAACGAGATAGTACTGAGCAGTTCGTGGCCTCAGGTCTCACTTGTCTGATTACATTTGTTATTTTGAAGGCCCTCGTGGTAGAGAGAAGATGAAGCCATTTTGGCTTCAGGGCTGTTTGCACAGAGCTTGTCTCTGGGTGGGAAGAGCAGCATGGCACGAAGCCATAAAACACTCGCTTTGAGGTGGAACAAGTGGTTAACAAAGCCTGGCATAGTTGGCCAGGTGGCAGCAGGCAGTGACACTTCCACGGGACACTGCAGGAAGGGCTGCATGGGGAGAACGACAAAAACACGGGTTGTTCATGTTTGATGCGATGGAGAAGGAGGGGGCTCAGCAGAGGCACGGAAGGGAAACGTGCAGTGTTCAGTCACAGGGGACACAGGGTAGCTTTAAACCAGCCAACTCGTGGTTTTGAAGTGATCTGGCCATGGGGGTTGATTTGCTTTATGGAGAAGGAAGGCAGAAGGTAAAGTCTGAGTGGAAAGGCTCACCTCAGCCCTCATCCATGCTGAGCCCCCACTAAAGAGCCAGGCACGGTCACACATCCATATAAACACATTTAAATGTTTTTAGTAAGCCTGTGTGCAGTTTTTACACTAAAGGGAAGTCAGAAGACTCGGAGGAAGTATCAGGGATGAACCTGAGTCCTGCAGCTCAGTGCACCCACTGCACTGCTGATGCATGTTTGGGTATCGCAGGGATGGATAGAAAACAAAAATGAGAGGAGACAAAATGATTCAATGCCATCAGGATGCAGTGGCCAGAAAGGATGGCCTCAAGAGAGAAGGAAAGATGTGAACAGATGCTGAGTAATTCAGTGGGTTTTTTTTCCGCGTCCACTGTCTCGACCTCCCCTTCATGTTTCTTCTGAGAAGTCTGTACGTGGGTTTCAGGGGTGGAAATGGGGTTCATGGGTGCAGATGCTGCTTCAACACTGGAATCCTTCCCCACATCA